CCTACCAATGGAGCATTGTAATATTGCTGAAGTTCAGTTAACCCCCTAGATGTTGACATACCTCCTCTGGTCAAAATTGAAGCTAGCATAAATGTTTTATCTTTACCTTTATTAGTACTACCAACAATATCACTAGAAGCTGAGGGGGGATTGAAGTGTACTACCATTAATTTTTTTTTCAAAATAATATTTTATTTTATTCATGTGGTTCATGTGCTCATTATTTAAGTTACCATATTGAGACATAAAAACACTTGTAATTCTTTAAATCGATGGTCAATTAACATACCAAAACTAGTAAATATAAGAAGTGGTGAGAAATATTTATTAAATTTAGATTGTATATTATGTAAAATAGTAGAAAATTTGGGTTCAATACTATATTTTTCAAAAAGATTACTGATAGTAACTATATGAACATTGACAAATGTAATAGTTGGATAATAATTATCATGTAAAGTCATAGTTGTCTCATAAAAAACTTTCAAAAAATCTTTCATTTTATCAGTGACTTCTCATTCTTCTTTGGTGGGATGCGATAATGAACCCATGGTATCTATACTAACATAGTCATTTAAGGCAGTTTTATATTTAACTGCCACATCTAGCATTTTATTGGTGGAGTTTCACCTATGTTGTACATCATATGATATTTTTTTGCATTTTAAATTATTCTTTTTACACATAGTTTCAAATGTCTTAAGTCTATTTTTAGCACATATTATATGATAAATAATATGTCTAATTTTATCAATTACAAATCTAATATCATGGAGACCACTTTGTACTATGAGATTTATGATACGACACATACATCTCATGAAAAAAAGTACCTTCACATGATAAAGTTAAATAACATTTTAAATGACTTACAACTCCACTATTATTTGGTATATTATCTAAAGTAATAGTAAAAATCTTGTCTTGAATACGATAAATTTGTTACTGATTATAAATAACTTCAAAAATAACTTGTGCACTATGATTATCTTCAATCCTTGTAAAAGTAATAATTTTTTTTTGCATAACTCAATTATCATCAATAAAATGAGCAGTTATACATAAATATCCTAATTGTTGGCAAGAAGTCCATATATCAGAAGTCAAACAAATTTTACTTTTAAGATTATCAAAATAAGCAATTAATTTTTTTTTCTTATACATAATATTTAATAACATCTCTTTGACATGTTTGATGAGAAAATTTTCTGAAAGAAGGATTAAAATCACTTTTTAACATTCTTTCAAATTCAGCATCGTCTACAAGAATAAATGGAAAATGTCTTATAACAATTGCTTTTCTAGCAGATTCAGGTTCATAACTAAAAGTGCTTAGTGTATCGGTGCTAGCAGATTGTGATAATATTGTTTGTCTAATATCAGTTTGACCTTTTAATAAGAATGTCTTTAGGTGTCTAGTTAAGTGACTAGTTTCATTTTTAGAGCCTCCAGCAAAATCTTTTTTAAAATAATTACATATAGACTTTTCTGATGTAATGACCCCATTAGAATTATTAATTTTGATTTTCTCATAGTGATTCTAGGCCTTGAACTTTTGTCTTTTATTAGATAGTACATTCCCAGTAGAATCCATATCAGGCGTTGAAAGTAGATCATTCCCTTCACCCTCATCAATGTTCTCATTATCATTATTCAACTTAAANATGGAGACCACTTTGTACTATGAGATTTATGATACGACACATACATCTCATGAAAAAAAGTACCTTCACATGATAAAGTTAAATAACATTTTAAATGACTTACAACTCCACTATTATTTGGTATATTATCTAAAGTAATAGTAAAAATCTTGTCTTGAATACGATAAATTTGTTACTGATTATAAATAACTTCAAAAATAACTTGTGCACTATGATTATCTTCAATCCTTGTGAAAGTAATAATTTTTTTTTGCATAACTCAATTATCATCAATAAAATGAGCAGTTATACATAAATATCCTAATTGTTGGCAAGAAGTCCATATATCAGAAGTCAAACAAATTTTACTTTTAAGATTATCAAAATAAGCAATTAATTTTTTTTTCTTATACATAATATTTAATAACATCTCTTTGACATGTTTGATGAGAAAATTTTCTGAAAGAAGGATTAAAATCACTTTTTAACATTCTTTCAAATTCAGCATCGTCTACAAGAATAAATGGAAAATGTCTTATAACAATTGCTTTGCTAGCAGATTCAGGTTCATAACTAAAAGTGCTTAGTGTATCGGTGCTAGCAGATTGTGATAATATTGTTTGTCTAATATCAGTTTGACCTTTTAATAAGAATGTCTTTAGGTGTCTAGTTAAGTGACTAGTTTCATTTTTAGAGCCTCCAGCAAAATCTTTTTTAAAATAATTACATATAGACTTTTCTGATGTAATGACCCCATTAGAATTATTAATTTTGATTTTCTCATAGTGATTCTAGGCCTTGAACTTTTGTCTTTTATTAGATAGTACATTCCCAGTAGAATCCATATCAGGCGTTGAAAGTAGATCATTCCCTTCACCCTCATCAATGTTCTCATTATCATTATTCAACTTAAAAATTTCGTTATAAAAAATATTTTGTGAATGAGATGAAGTCATTACGTAAATTAAACTATAAAAATAAAATAAATATTTAAATTATGTAAAAAAACTTTCTCACCAAATGAGACCACTTGACAATTTTGAGTCTTTGAGACATTTGAAAACTCGGTCTTGAGACTTCAGAACACTTGAGAGTTGTGACTTGTGAGTTAA